CTAGTGAGCCGCGGCGCCGGCCACTTTTTATATTTTTTTAAAGATTTTTATTTATTTATTTGAAAGGCAAGTTACAGAGAGGCAGAGGAAGAGAGGGGTCTTCCATCTGCTGGTTCATTCTCCAGATGTCTGAAACGGCAGGAGCTGTGCTGATATGAAGCCGGGAGCCAAGAACTTCTTCCAGGTCTCCCAAACGGGTGCAGGGGCCCAAAGACTTGGGCCATGCTCCACTGCTTTCCCAGGCCATAGCAGAGAGCTGAATTGGAAGTGGAGCAGCTGGGACTTGAACCAGCACCCATATGGGATGCCGGCACTGCAGGCGGTGGCTTTACCCACTACACCACAGTGCCATCCCCTATATCTTTCTTCTGATTCTTGCTTCTGTAAGATGCTATTAAGCTGAGATACATTTAGAGGTTCTTCAATTTCTGATGATACATCCCAGATATTTCTAAGATGAGACTTCTATTAGTGCTACAACTTCATGTACCTAATTACTTCTCTGTGCTAACTTTCTGCTTTCTGTCACATTTAATGTTTATTGCTTTGAAGTTATTATCTTTCATGCTTGGTTTATATGCTCGGGACCATATTAAATGATTTGCATGCATTACTTTATTTAATCTTCTCAAAGCTTCAATATTGTTTGTTAGAATTGGGAGGATGACTGATGGAACCTAGACTTCTTCACACATTTGGCTCAGAGCTCATCATTTGTTCCACTACTGTGCACATTACTATATGCATCTTAGAGTATAAGCAATGCCACATAACCTGTAGTTTTTCATTTAATTATTTTACTTCACCTTCATGACTTAGCAGTAAGTAAAAAAATCTTCCTCCTTAAGCTATATGCCTTATCTTCTCTGTTAGAAAATACATTTTTGGAGGGAATTATTACTTAGGATTACTTATTATTTTTGTAACTCTTAGGCATTGAACAATACCCTGGACTAGTACATAGGTAATAAAACTGTTGATGATGATGATAATGTGATGCTGAAGATAGTAACTATTAGCATTTGGGATACATAGATTAGGTCAATTTCTGTTCCTTTCCCACACACATCTCTTAAAATTTCAATCTTTGAAAGCTTCCCACACTCCTGTCTCCAGGCAATTTGACTTCTGCTCCATGCTTCATACTCTGAACACCCACCGAGTGGGAAGCTCACCTATGAGAACTTATAGTCACTGTTCTTTTGAAATAAAAGTCCATGCCAATCTTAAGGAGGGGGCCAAATCACAATAACAGGATGGAGGTGAGAGTGAGCGCATCTTTCTAAGATTCCAAGGTGAAGTTCAATACATTTTGGAACCATAATACTTACATAATAGATGCACTAATTAAAACTGGACTCTTGCAATACACACAGCACAGACAGTGGGCTCAAACTCAGCAACTAGGTGGACTTTACCTACAAAGCCAGAGAAAAACTCACTAGAGCCTCCTCCAAATCTAGCAGATCATCTTGTTGTCTGAGAAAATTAAATGACATTGTAATGAACCAACAATGCAGTGGTTGACAGTTTTTGTTTTAAATGCTCTCAATTGCCTCAGTCTTGGATCCAAGCAAAATGCTATAAATCTTGCATGGCGCTTACATTTATAATTGAAGTCCATGCAGCATTATCATACTGTAATGCAACATGAGCAGGGGATGCCACCACTGAGACACTGCCAGTACACCAAAATGCCCTGTCCTTGACTGTAATACTCCCACACCACTCCCACCCGACCCTATCATACACAGAGAGGTTTGGTGAGTGCATGGATATCCACAAACACCTGATGCTGGAGCAGGCTAATCAAGACTTGACCCTAGACTTGGATGTATAGGTAAGGTTCTATACTTGAAACACTACAAAAATGAGCTTGTATCAAATGTACTTAAATTGAAATGAGGTGGGTTTGTGCTTGATCAGCAAAATGGACATACTCTGTAAAGTTAGCAAATCCATAATATTTTCTCATAATATTCATCCTACTGTCTTCCTCCTCATTATTAAAGCACATCACTAAATACTAGTGATACTCAAATGGTCCAATTACGGGTTAGCATAGGGCGTTGACTTATCAGAACATATGCCTTCGCTTCTATCACGTGTCAACCCTTTAGGTTCTGGATCCTGGAGTAATATAAGGGTCTGGGTGGGAGGGGTTCGTCCAGGTTGACATTTGGGAAGGGAGTGGATTAAGGACAACATTATTTATCAATAACTGGCCATATTTTTATATCAACTGTATCATTCTGTTCTAAAGCAACAGCTTATCAGACAAATGTCAACCTTACTAAAAACTCATTTATATTAATAAGTGGTGCTAGAATCACAGTGCTTAGAAATTTAATGATTCCAATAGAGCAGTAGATCAAAAGAATTTTGAAATTTTCTAAACTGTTAGAAAGCAGTCTTAGACTTGCCAATTAATGTTGAGTGGCATTCTGTTGTATCACTATACCACAGTTTGCTTATTTATGGCTTATTGATTTTGGCTATTTTGAATAGGGCTATGAAGATTTCATTGTGAGTTTTTATATAGCCAAGACTTATGCTTTTTTTTTTAAGATTTATTTATTTGACAGTCAGAGTTACACAGAGAGAGAAGGAGAGGCAGAGAGAGAGAGGTCTTCCATCTGCTGGTTCACTCCTCACTTGGCTACAACAGCTAGAGCTGTATCGACCTGAAACCTGGAGCCAAGAGCTTCTTCCTGGTCTCCCATGTGGGTGCAGGGGCCCAAGGACTTGGGCCATCTTCTACTGCTTTGCCAGGCCATAGCAGAGAGCTGAATCAGAAGTGGAGCAGCCAGGACTCAAATCAGCACCCATATGGGATGCCAACACTGTAGGTGGTGGCTTTATCTGTTATGTTATAGCGCCAGCCCCTATGTTTTCAATTATCTTAAGTAAATAAGTACATATGGAAATGCTGCATTATGTAAGAGGCATATGTTTGATTTTTATAGAGTATTTAATTTATTTGAAAGGCAGAGTTATAGAGAGGTAGAAGCAGAGAGAGAGAGGGATAGAGAGAGAGAGAGAGAGAGAGAAAGAGATCTTCCGTCTGCTGGTTCACTCCCCAAATGGCCACAACAGCCAAAGCTAGGCAAATCTGAAGCCAGGAGCCAGAAGCTTCTTCTGGGTCTCCCACACGGGTTCAGGGGCCAAAACTTGGGCCGTCATCCACTTCTTTCCCAGGCACATTAGCAAGGAGTTGGGTTGGAAGTGGAGCAACCAGGACTAGAACTGGTGCCCATATGGGTTACCAGCACTTCAGTCAGTGGCTTTTCCCATGATGCCACAGCACTGGCCCCATATGTTTGCTTTTAAAGACAGTGCAAAACTGTTTTCCAAATCATTGTGGGAGTTTCCAATCACAGTAGTGATGTGTGAGAGTTCTTGTTCCTCCATATTCTTACCATTGTTCCGTGTTATTGGCCTTGATAATTTTAGCCAATCTTTTAAATATGTAGTGTTATCTCATGAATTTAAATTTACATTTTCCTGATGACTAAATCATATTGAATGTCTTTTCATGTGCTTATTGGCAATTATCTTGTTTTGTGAATTGCATGCTCAAATATTTTCCTTGTGCTTTGGTGGACTGATTACTTGTTTTAAGTTCTTCAAGTTCCAAACATAGTCTGGATATAAGCTATTTTCAGATATATATAATGCAAACAACTTCTTATATTTTGGGGCTTTGCATTTTCAGCTTATTAATGCTTGCTTGAAGAGCAGACATGTTTAGTTTTGATGAAGTTCTCAATTTATCGTTTTGCATTTCATTTTCCTATCTAGGATTTTTTTATTGATGCTAAAGAAGGCAATATAAATCTGGAGTTAACGTTTAGGTTTTTGACACATTTTGAGTTATTTTTGTCTGAAGTTGAAGCAAATGTTGAGCTTCGTTTTTTTCTGCATATGAGCATCCTATTGTACCAGAGCCATCTGTCTTTTCTCCATTGAATTACTAAGACACTCTTGTCGACCATCAATTGACCAAACACATCAGCATGTTTGGGAGGCAGGGAGAACATATTTTTATTTATTTCTAAAATATCATTTTGTTCCTTTTATTAAATTTATTCTTATTGTTGATTATTATAGCTTTATACTGTTTGTACATGTAGTGTAAAGTTCTCTAAGTTTCTTTTTTTTTTTAAAGTTTCAGCTGTTCTAAGTTCTTCACATTTCCAAATAAATCTTGTAATTTCTATAAAAACAGGAAAATTGGATTTTGATTAGAATTATTATGACTCTATAGATGAATTTAAGTACAAATGATATTTTGATAATATCAAGCCTTTTAATCTATGATCTGGAGATCTTTAATTTCTCTCATGTTTGATAGCTTTCAATGCAACAGGTATGTACATTTTTTAAAAACTTACCTCTAGGCATTTTATATTTGTTGATATTATGCTAGGCAGTATTTTCTCTTTTCATTTCATTAAATTTTCCATTTCTAATTTTTGTTACTAGTACAGGGTATCCATTGATTTTATGTATTTTGTCCTGTAGCTATAATATGTTAGCTTATTAATTCTTGTAGTCCTTTTGTAGATCTGATAGGATTTGTGTATGATCCTGCAGTCTTCCTTTCCAATTTGTTTGTGTTTTCTTGGGTTACTGTACTAGCTAGGAGTACGCTCCTCCCTCTCCTTCCAAAAAATGTTCAGTGGGACAGGTAGAAGTGAATAGGCTGACTTTGTTTCTAAATTAGGGGAAAGCATTTAATTTTTGTCCATTTACATGAAAATTAATCATTCGCTTTTCGTAAATGTGATTTATCAGATTGAGGAAGTTCCCTTTCAATTCTCTTTGATGAGAGATTCTATCACATATAAGTATGAGTGTTGACTTTATCAAGTGCTTTTTCTCAGTCTATTGAGATAATCATGTTTTTTCTCCTTTATTCTGTTAATATGTTGAATTAAAATTATTTATTTTCATATAACAGACAGCCTTGTGCTTCTGGGATAAATTTCCTTCATCATTTCTTTAATTTGCTAAATTCAATTGTCTAACATTTAGTTAATGGTTTCATTGTTTGTGTTCATGAGAGTTATTAGGTTGTAGGATTTTTTTCTTCTTCTTCCTTTTCTTTTCTGTAAAGTCTTTTTTTTATTTTATTTTTTTTATTTTTTGACAGGCAGAGTGGACAGTGAGAGAGAGAGAGACAGAGAGAAAGGTCTTCCTTTGCCGTTGGTTCACCCTCCAATGGCCGCCGCGGCCAGCGCGATGTGGCCGGCGCATCGCACTGATCCGAAGGCAGGAGCCAGGTACTTATCCTGGTCTCCCATGGGGTGCAGGGCCCAAGCACTTGGGCCATCCTCCACTGCACTCCCTGGCCACAGCAGAGGGCTGGCCTGGAAGAGGGGCAACCGGGACAGAATCCGGCGCCCCGACCGGGACTAGAACCCGGTGTGCCGGCGCCGCTAGGCGGAGGATTAGCCTAGTGAGCCGCGGCGCCGGCCTTTTCTGTAAAGTCTTTAACTGGTTCTGTTTGCAGGGTAATCACAACATCATGAAATGAGCTGTGCAGTATCCGTTTTTGTTGTTGCTGTCATTATTTCTATTTTCATCTACCAATATTTTTCTCACAGTTGTGGTTTACAGTCTATTTCTTTAGGGGCATGTGTGGATTTTGGAATTTTATATTGTTGAGTTGTTACATTGTATTTTGTTGTCTTTATGAAAGATTGTCACACTTTGCTATGGAAATCTGTTATATATTTTGTGGCTCACCTTAATTCTTTCGAGACTTGTTTCTGAACTCTATCAAGACTTATTGAAAGTTATCTTTACTGTTCTTACTTTACTTAGTTCTTCTAATGAGGTGTGAGCATTCTGGGTCATTCATGAAGATGATCAATGAGAATTTCCAAAAAAGGTTGACCAATGCCTGACTGTTTCTCTATTCTGGGTGCGAAATGGGAATTTACAGCCCGCAGCTCCCCAGTCATGCCTTCTCGGTTATTCTTTACCTGACCTCATGGAGTTTCCTGCATACTGGGCTCACAGATGCCTATCCAATTATCAATAGATACACTCACCTATTTGAGGCATTTTCTGTGTAGGTCTCTCTATCTGGTTGTATGCTCCAGAAATTTCAGCCGTCTTAGTCTCCTGGCTCCAATCTGTGTCCTCAGTTTTGCATGATTGTCAGGTTCTAGTCAGGGAATTGTCCTCACTGCAGCTGCCCTGGAACGGGCAAAGTCAGGATGTCCCCAAGCTGATGATTTCTGTTTCTCCTGGCTCATGAGTCCCAGTCCAGCTCTGTATATTGTCCATTGTCTGAAATATTGTTAAGGTTTTTGTTGTTGTTGCTGTTGTTGTTGTTTAATGAAGTGATAAGCTTGACCACTTTTAGTTGTGACCAGGAGCGTAATACTTTCACCTCTCTTTATTGATTAAGCAAACAGACCTAGAGAGACCATTAGGTGTAGTGATGAAGAACAGGGGTTTGGGGGTAGGTTTGAATTCAATTTTTTCCATTTAGTTTTTAGACAACCTTGGGAAAGTTACCTAACTTTCTGCATTCATCTCTGCATCTTTAAATCAAGGTATTACTGCTGCCACCACTGCTGCTGCTACTACTGACAATGTAACATTAGGAGTTGTGTCTTCTTATCATTGGGATGATTAATTGAGATGAAGACTGACGTTTTTAGCACAGATTTGACACATAGGGAGAGTCAGATAGATGTTAACTTTTTTTAAAAAGATAGAATTTTAAACATTTACATATTTTTATTTATTTCTAAGTGTCACAATTGAAGGTCAGACTTGGAAGCATTTTAAGATAAGTCCTTGGCAACCTCCAAATTATTATTGGTGACCTTGACTTCGGCAGAAATTCTTATTTCAAGTTCAGGAATGTAATGTTTGATGGAAAGATGCATATTTTCCCATTGTTTATCAAAATAGTTTTCCTTTTACTAAGTACCCAGACCAGAAACAGCTCATGTTAAGCCCTTAGGACAAACCTGCTGGATACAAGGACAATCTATACTCCCTTAAGGAAACATGAGAAGATCTGTTTGTGTTTGTAGGGAAGCTGTAAGATGAAGATTTGTGGATAATCCATCACAAACTCTCAAGTTATCTGTTACGGATTTAATTCATCACAACAATGAATATACTATTAAGGCCTTTGACGCTACTGACAGTTTCAGTCTTGAAATAATCACTCAAAGTACAACTGTTAAAGGACATCCCTAGTTTTCTTTTTAGAACCCCATACAATCTTGAATAACTACAAAAGTTGCCCAGCAGAGAAGAATCAAGGCAAAACTAGTATGTTCATTGTTGGGGGTCCAGCAATGTCCTAAATGGATCTTCATGAACTTCAATATAGTATTTCTTGTCTGCCTTAAATATAGGTAGACAAGAAACAAAACTCAGCCTTTGTAATGACTGAAATATTCCAGCTCAGAAAGGGAAATTTAAGAATCTTTCTCTGCAGGCTGATGACAGCCAATATGTCAGCTAACATCATCATGTATTCCCAGATGATAATAGTGCCAGTTAATTAGGTCTTGTTTATATTTGGATTGTTGATAGGCTTAAGTTATATTCATATTATCACAAAGAAAAACCACATAGAAATCCTTCTCTTTAATCTAAATTCAGGTTTCCTTTGTCACACTGACATTTAAAGTATATATCAGAATAAAAAAGCTTATAATAAGTCAGACATACAAAGTAAATCATCTAAATCTTAAAGAACATCTGATTAATGATAGTTTTGGCTTGACAACCAGATATCCTGTCTCAACAGAAGTTTAAGCTGGTATATAAACATTCAGACATTACCTTTGAGATTGATGCTACAAAATACCATGAAAATCTCCATAAATTCCACATTACTCTTAACACTTAGACCTTTGTAAAGATTTAATGCTTTGGTTGTTGGTGTAAGACATGTTCTTTTTGTAGAATTCTTGAACTGGGATGAATTCTTTATGACCATTAAAAAGCTTTCTTTTTTTCCTGATTCTTGTAAACTCTTTTCTAACAATGCTCATAACAGGTAGAGAAAATGTTTTTTTTTTTTTTTTTTCTGGAACCCACAATAATATCAATTGCAAACATTTAATGTTTAGAAGAAGTTGTTTCTTTGCCATACATTCTGTGTAACTAGACTTGCTAAGAAGCTCAGTTGAGAATTCTAGGGGTGCTGGGCTATTGTCCCCTGAAGACCAGTGCTCACTATTCAGCATGTTCCTGCCACTGTCTCACCCCTTCAAGGATTTCTAAAAAGTCAGAATTATGCCTGGACAAAGCAGCCCTAAAGAGAAAGTGCATGGAGTAGAGACACTTGTCCTTTTATCTTATGTCTTATTTTCCTTTTTTTTTTTTCTATTCCCCATTCTTCTTGACAAAACACAAAGAGACACCTGTCAGAAACGCAGATCTTCTTGCTTGGTGTCCTTGATTAGAAGTAGTCTAAACCTCAGGAAGCTAAAATCAAGATGATTATATAACTCCTGAAGCTGATAGTTTTCAAATATACTGCAACAAAAGACCATTTAAGAGGCAGTTTTAAATACACTATTCCATCTCTACTGTTCTGCTCTAAGATTACTAAGATAAAATAGTGTTGAACTCAGCTTACATAATCATAAAAGTTAAAAGCTGTCACTGGCACTCAGTTGGTTCTTAAGCTTTCCGCAAAACCTCAGCCAACTTGAGGTGTTGATTCCTCGTGTCTAGGAAGTGGTCAAGGTTGAATAGTCAGCTTTTAAAGATGAGTTTGCAATCGAAAATGAATCCTCATGTGAATGGAAGGGGAGAGGGAGTGGGAAAGGGGAGGGATGCGGGTGGGAGAGACGATATGGGGGGGAAGCCATTGTAATCCATAAGCTGTACTTTGGAAATTTATATTCATTAAATAAAAGTTAAAAAAAAATAAAGATGAGTTTGCCCCTGATAAAGCAACATTTGCAATCACATGGTATATTTAGGAAAGTGATAGACTGAAAAAAATCATAATTTTGTATTTATGAAGTGTCACTTTTCTACAAATTGGATATTCAGTACTGATGGCTAGAACAAATCATTACATTTCTAAAAGAAATAAAAAATGCACAGAGATAGTAGAAATCAAATGAATTAATGAAAGATTTTGCTCCTGTTATCTTCTTAATAAATGCAGTACAGAGTGTCACAAATGCCCTTGCATCCTTGTTACACAGTTTGAATTACAAATAGAATGACCAAGTAATTTGCTGTCCTCCTAACAGAGTCCAATAGATAAATCCTTAGTTCCTTTCTCACCTTTTACAGATGCCCGTCATTAGTTAGTACTCATATTCTAATTATAATCCCAAATGATTCATAATTGTAGGAAGACAATACCATGCATTTTCACAGTCACATTATGATATTTTAGTATGTCAAATACAGCAAGTATTTATTGAAAGTAACATATGAAAATATGAATAAAATAACGGTATGTACAAAGTAACACTGCATGACTTCTACCTAATATTTAATAATACAACTGCAAATTATCCCTGCATTAACATAGTGGAAAATAATAAATACAAATGTTAGGTAATGCAAGAACACCAAGAAAGTCAGAAAGTCTCCATGGGTATGAACTGTCAGCCCTGGAAACCTTCAACTCCAGGAAGGGGTGTGCCCTCAGGGAGAACACCTGCCTGGGCTGTTAGGTTCATGGCTCACAAACATCCCTCCTAAAACTCACTCCCTTCGGAATGTTTCTAGAAAATGAAGTAACACGCTTTTGTTGCACTTGTAGGCAGAAGAGGCCCAGGATTCTTTTTGACCCTATCAAATTATTGCATGCCATCTAGACATCCTTTTATTGGGACAGGCCAGTGATGCAGACTGGCGAGCAGGATTGGAGATCAGGGCTGATTCCTCACGATTTTCTAGCTTTTCACCCCAGAGCACAGAAGCTGAAGATTAAGCCTGTGAAGAACAACAACAAACAAATTCAGATTCCAAAAAAAGTGAAGAAGCAGAGATGGTGGGGGGATCATTTCATGATAAGAAATGTTAGTAATTAGCCATTTTTGTTTTCAGCTAGAAGAGTCACTTGAATGTTTTACTAGCACTTCAAACTCAACATGTTTGATTAGAAAGCGCTATGCATCCTTCCAAACCTGTTACCCTTCACCCTGTAAACTCAGTCTTGCTATTGCAGCCACAGCACATCCACACAGCAAAGCTGGATATGTGAATATCATTGATAGTCCCATTCTTCTACATTCTTCACTGCTCACACCAAATCAGTCACTACATCTTGAGATTTTTCTCCTTCTAGACCTTTTCTCTATTCTGCCTCATCACCTCTATCTCTCCTGTAGCTGCAGCCTTAGCCTAAGCCCTTGTAATTGTCTAGTAGAATATTGCACTAATCTCTGACTTCTCTGCTTCAGGTCTTGCTCCTATTGAACTTTGTGTACCTCAAGAACAAATTTCCTTTGATTCCCCTTCTAATTTAAATCCTTAATGATACTCTACTACTAACGGATGCAGTTCAAGATATGTTGCTTAGGTGACTTTGAGTAGTTAGTAGATTTATGGGTAAATTTCATTATGTCCCTGCTGTGTACTCATCAAGGAGAAGAATGAACAGGCAGCTTGGTGCTTCTCTTTCACAGGAAAAGTATATAGGCTTTCAGTCTGGTACTTCAAAGGTTGCTTGTTTGTAGTACAGAAATAACCTTCTGTATGGGTCCAAAAGAGAGCCGAGGATGGAGGTTTCTGTGACCAAACTGGGACAGGAGTAGTGGCTTGTGTTGGCAGGGGTTAGATGCTGTGTAGCTCACGACCATGTTAGTGACTTGTTGGAGTCTAGGGAGCAGGTGACATTGCATGTATGGGAGTGGGGAGAGTGGGTAGTACCAGTGGCAGAAGCGTGTTCTCTGATCTTTCATGGCATGGTTAGTACAGGCAGGAGGACCCTTAACAGAGATACCTGTACGATTGGTTTGCATGGGACAAAGTTGTACATTTGTTGGCAATGCCTGTGGGCAGGAGCCCCAAAGTCCATGTCAAGTATTAGGCTATGGGAAGGGCATTAGACTGAGGTGAGTCTGATGGCCTTCCAGGGCATCTGTGGCTGAAAGATGGTCCAAAGTATGCCCGAGTGTGGTGTAGCAGAAGGAGCACCATGATTCTAGGGATGCTTACAGGTCTGCTCTTCCCCTAAATATTGGACTAATTTCCGGGGGGGGGGGATGCAATCCCTCAGTATGAAAAAATTATGACTTTTTAACATTAACAGAAGAGTAAATCATGCTTCCTTTTAGCCTTGTGAAGTCCTTTATGGTTTACCCAAGGAACAAGGTCTCCCATGACCTGATGCCTTTAGTACTTCACCCTCATATTTCCCAGCCTGACACTGAACCATATTCTCTAGGCCAATGTTTCCAAAGCTATCCATAGTGTAGGAACTGGTGGTTGTTAATTTTTTAATCTACCCATTTATAAACTGATATTTAAAAATACAGTAACATGAGTTGGATGGTGCAGCAATATTAGATTGTTGTAATAATTTTTAAACTTTTTAAATTTAATTCATGTACCATGCAGTTTCAGGATTCTTTGCCTTTGCACAAGCTATTTCCTGTTTCTAGAAAAACATTTTCTCTTTTCAACGAGGCCATTTTAACGTTCTTAAAAGTCATTCTGTACGTCTCAGCTCAAACACCATCTTTAAAAAAATTGCCATTGAACTTAGGGGCACTGTGTTTATCTTTACATACTACAATCTTATCTCAGATTATACTAAAATTAAATTTTTTGTGTGTATTTCTCCCCACTTCTGTAAGTTCCTTGGTGAGAGCAACAATGTTATATCCCTTTTTATATCCAGAACTTGGAAAGGAGTGAGGCCTTAGTCACTTTTTGTTCAACTGAGTCCTACTCCTCTGTAGATGCATTTCCAAGTGAAATCAAGAATTTTCAGCATGGCTTAGCTAGGTACACATTTGGATTTAGGTACTAGGATAATGCTTATGACTCATAATATTTCAATCATGTTAACAAATATCAGCAATCTATATTAGGAATAAATTGGAGTTTCATTAGCATTTATTCCTGAAGGGCATCTTTCTCAAGAAATGGATCTTACTTCATGAATGCTTTTTCCCATTGAGTGATAGTTTCAGTTTGTTTGTCTGTATCAACAACAGTATTTTCTTTCTTTCACTACATTGTAATCTCTCCAGGATTCAGTGTGCTGTCTCCAAGTGTGATGAAGGACTTACTGGTCACTCAGCAACCTAATACTTTGTAAATTTGTGATTTTTCAAAGAATACATTATTATTTTATCGTATAGTTTAATAATAGATTTCTATAATAGCATTGACAATATTTTATAAACTTTCTGCCCCAGTCTTATAAATGCGGGACCCAATGCAAAACATCACTAAGAAATTCACTCAGGACCAGAGAGTAGGATCAGAAAATAAATCTTTTCTTATGATATTTTCCTTTTAGCTCTCTTATTTCACTTAAAAATGAAAGAACACCAATTGAAAAACATGTTAAATTCCTGTGGACATTCACAAAGGTGCTCCTGGATTGCTGGGTACCATTTAGAAAAGTACAGAAGTGTAGTGAATTAAATGAGAAAGAAAAATAAAAATGGCTTCCATTCCACAGTACTGAGGATCCACAGGATGGCACTGTCATGCTAGCTCCTGGACTTGCCTCATTGGACTGAAACTTCAAGAGATTCGGCACACAAGTTGTCTCAGAATAGAAGCGAGATGAGACCCACTAGTAAGTAAGCAAACAGGAGCAGCATGATGTCTTCCTGACCACAGTTTAGGTTTGATCACCAGTAACGTTACATATAAAGCTACGTATACATATAACGTTACATATAAGTTGCTTTGTTCCCATTCATCTTTGTGTATTGGACATGTTTACATAGTATTAAAAAGTTGTCATGAGAATTACTTTTACTACATGCATGTATAATATCACAGGATGAAGCACATTTTTTATAATTTCCTATCTCTTTGGACAAATAAGCTGTTTCTAAAGGTTTACTACCAGTCTTTGTGTATTAATCTTTAATCATGTTTCCAGTGATTTTCTTACACAAAATTCCTAAAAGTGAAAGAAATTACTAGGTGCCCAATGTGAGTATTTTGTTTCTCAGTGAACACAGCTAAGTACTTTTTAGAACATTAATCCCATTTATACTTTCAAAAGCAGCATTTGAAACTTCATCAGTATGATTTACCTCATCAGTACGATTTTTTAAAACTTAGAAAAAAAGAGTTCAGTTAAATTGATGTAACATTCAGTTTTTGGTCTTAAATCACATTTTTATTACTAGTAGCATAGAAACTCTTCTATAATTTTATTAATATTTCTATTTCCTTATCTATGAATTACCTATTAATGGCCTTTTGGAAGTTTTCTGTCATGTCCCAGATTAAAATAAAATTCATATTCTATAGATGTCCTAACTGACATCTATAGAATGTTCTACCCAACAGCGGAAGAATACACATTCTTCTTAACAGCACACAATCTGTTCTCCAAGGTAGACCATATAATAGAACAGACAACAAGTCTTAACGAATCTTCTCAGGATTGAAATCATACTGACTTTCTTTTCCAGCCACAACACAATACAAATAGAATTTAATAACCAGAAAAACATTGCAAACCATAGAAATAAATGGAAATGAAGTAACATACTCTTGAACAATTGATAGATCAATGAAGAAATTAAGAAGAAAATGTAAGCATTTCTTGAAACCAATGAAAATGCAAACACAACATGGCAAAGCCTATAGGATAGGAAAAAAGTAGTAGTAAGAGAGGAGTTTATGGCAATGAAGACCTACATCAACCAAGTGGAAAGATTTCCAGTAAACAACTTTTCACTACACTTCAGTGGAAAAATAAGTGCAATTCACACCCAAAATTAGTAGAAGGAAAGGAATACAGATGAGAGTCAAAATAAATGAAATACAGACTAAGGAAAAATATAAACATCAACAAAAGAAATGGTTCTTAGGAAAGATCAACACAATTGGCAAACCCTTAATTAGACCAACTAAGAATAAAAGAGAGAAGACTCAAATAAAATCAGAGATGAAAAAGGAGACATTAAAATAACAACACAGAAATAAAAAGGATCATGAGAGATTATTAGGAACAAGCCAACAAATTTGATAGCCTAAATTCCTGAACACATACTTGTTACCATACTTCTCTTGAAACATAAAGAAACAGAATACAATAAATGTCTTCTATCAAAGAAAAACTCAGGTCCAGATGGCTTCACTGCTGAATTTTATCAAACATTTATATAAGAATTAATATCAATTCTCCTTAAATTATTCCCAAAAAAGAGGAGGGAATTCTTGCAAACTCATTCTAGGAGGCCATAGTCTTAGTCTTATTTTGAGATAGGATTTTTTTTTTTTTTTTGACAGGCAGAGTTAGACAGAGAGAGAGAGACAGAGAAGGCCTTCCTTCCGTTGATTCACCCACCAAATGGCCACCACAGCTGGCGTGCTGCAACCGGTGCGCTGCGCCAATCCAAAGCCAGGAGCCTGGTGCCTTCCTCCTGGTCTCCCATGTGGGTGCAGGGCCCAAGCACTTGGGCCATCCTCTACTGCCTTCCCGGGCCACAGCAGAGAGCTGGACTGGAAGAGGAGCAACCGGGACAGAACCGGCGCCCCAACCGGGACTAGAACCCGGGGTGTTGGCGCCGCAGGCAGAGGATTAGCCTAGTGAGCCTTGGCGCCAGCCGAGATAGGAATTTTTAACATTGGTATTTACTTCTATATTATTATTGGTTGTTGTGCACATATTCAAAGACTAAACTTCTTTCCCAAAATACTCTAGGACTTATGAATGCATCCTTATATACTCTAAATCTCAGAGTCCATCACAGATTTCTCGATGACAATCTAGAAAGTAGTAATTCACTGGTGATTAAATTCAAATTATTCATAATACTAGAATTCTTATGTATTTATAAGGCCTAGACTATTTGGGGAAAGAAGTTAAAAGTCTTTGAATATGTGCATAGAAATCATTAATAATAAAGAAATAAATACCAATGTTAAAATGGTAGAAATAAGGCCGGCGCCATGGCTCAATAGGCTAATCCTCCACCTGTGGTGCCAGCACCCCGGGTTCTAGTCCCGGTCGGGGCACAGGATTTTGTCTCGGTTGCCCCTCTTCCAGTCCAGCTCTCTGCTATGGCCCTGGAGTGCAGTGGAGGATGGCCCAAGCCCTTGGACCCTGCACCAGCGTGGGAGACCAGGAGAAGCACCTGGCTCCTGCCTTCGGATCAGCGTGGTGCACCGGCAGCAGCATGCCGGCCGCAGTGGCCATTGGAGGGTGAACCAACGGAAGGAAGACCTTCTCTGTCTCTATCTCTCACTGTTCATTCTGCCTGTCAAGAAAGAAAAAAGAAAGTCTTTGAATCTGTGCACAGAAATCAATAATAATAAAGAAATAAATACCAATGTTAAAATGGTAGAAATACATTAGAGAAAACAATAATACAAAAAGAGAGAGTAGAATTGACAGAGGTCAAGCTTGTTTCTTCACCTTCCTTTCTGATCTTTACTCTTCAGTGCTTCATTACACAATCCCCAAGTTCCAAAAAACAGCAAGAAAATCATTTGCCTCTTCAAATTAAAAGACATGAAATAGAGGGTTTTAAAGTAAAGCAATGAAAGAGTATGGAGAATAATTTCTTTCTTTCTTTCTTTCTTTCTTTCTTTCTTTCTTTCTTTCTTTCTTTCTTTCTTTCATCCAGAGTTAGACAGTGAGACAGAGAGACAGAGAGAAAGGTCTTTCTTTTTCCGTTGGTTCACCCCCAAAATGGCTGCTACAGCCGGCGCTGTGCTGATCCGAAGGCAGGAGCCAGGTGCTTCCTCCTGGTCTCCCATGAGGGTGCAGGGCCCAAGCACATGGGCCATTCTCCACTGCCCTCCCGGGCCACAGCAGAGAGCTGGACTGAAAGAGAAGCAACCGGGACAGAATCCGGCACCCCAACCGGGACTAGAACCTGGGGTGCTGGTGCCGCAGGCGGAGGATTAGCCTAGTGAGCAGTGGCGCCGGCCAGAGAGTAATTTCTTTTATTAAGCTTGTTTGGGTCAGAATTAACACGCCTTTCCTTTTCCCTTTTCCTTTCCTTTTCTGAAAAAAATTTAATAATATAAAGAGACATATTATGTATTTCCTAGGTACAATTCTAAGAAGGTAACCATACTTCTCTCCCTCCTCCTCTCTCCCTCAATTGTCTTCCTTCCTTTCTTTTATTTTTCTGCTAATTTTTTGCAAAAATATAATTGCAATCTCCTTTATAATCACAGACTTAATGCACCACTAACCATAATATTCAGCAAGTAAAATGAAAGACCACAGTTCCCCAGGAGTATAAAAATGGAGTAAAGAATAACAATCAAATCACAAGATGTCCATTTCTTTCTTATACATTTGTTTGTATTCAATATTAGCTACCACATATCAGAGAAAACACATGATATTTGTCTTTTTGGGACTGGCTTACTTCACTAAGCATAATGGTTTCCAGTTGCATCCAGCGTTGCAAACTACAGGGTTTCATTCTTTTTAATGGCTGAGTAGTACTCTATAGTGTATATATATCACATTTTTTTCCTTTGCCATTTTCCACAACTCATCAGAAGACTGTTGTTTTCCTCCAAGTTGGACAAATAACTGATAACATTTAAGCATTTATGGTAACCTAGAAAAAATTCCATTACTTGCCACTGGGTCGCGAAGAAACCAAAGCTGGAACGGCAAGAATTTTTCCATTATCAGCTAAGGATGGGCCATGTATCTCCGTGCTCTGCTTCTCAACTTTTGTATCTGAAGTGGCCATTGCAAAAGGATGAGGAAACTCCAAGTTTCCTTTAATGCATCCTGATTTGCTGGCTAGAGAAGGGTGAAATTCTGATATTGGCTCCTATGTCTTGATCTTAGCCACAAGGCCGAAAATCGACGATTCCTAAATCTGAAAGGTACACCTCTATCTCTGTCTTCTGCTATGGCCAGAGAAGCACAGCAGTACCATTTACTCCGCAAGCAATTGCTGAGTGTCTGTAACATCGCAGTGCTAGTAGATGGACAGTAGAACAGTGATATTCCTCACCCTGGACACTTAGAGTAACTGCCATTGTGGTCAGGCCAACTCTGGGCATATATTTTTGGTTGTTCTGGTTTTTTATTTGTTTTCAAAAGGCAAGTTTTCTGCAGGTTCTATAAAGCATCAAAACCTGTGAGATCACTTAACTGATAATTCTTTTTTATTTTTTTTAAATATTTTATTTATTTGAGAGGTAGAGTTACAGAGAGTGGAAGAGACAGACAGAAAGGTCTTCCATCCACTGGTTCACTCCCCAAATGGCCCCAATGGCTAGATCTGAGCTGATCAAAAGCTCTGTTCCCATGTGGGAACAGAGGCCCAAGGACTTGGGCCATCTTTCTACTGCTTTCCCAGGACATAGAAGAGAACTGGATTGGAAAAGGAGCAGCGGGGACAGGACAGGAACTAGTACCCATATAGGATGCCAATGCCGCAGGCAGAGGCTTAACCTATTATGCCACAGAGGTGGCCCCTGTAGATGCTTCTTGTAACAACTGGACTAATGTCAGATGAAAATCTCCTTTCCAGTTCCAGGAAACCAAAGGGCAACATCATCCTGAGCTGGTAGGGTTAATTCCAGAGCAAGCCTGAAATTTGCCTGGGCTATGTTACTAAAATAAGAAACACACCTTCATTGCACTGACTCATGGGCAGGACATGAAACATATTGAACAATGCTGTGGCTTTCAATCATACTTTTGAACAGTTTTCATTCTTAATTGATGAGCAATCATTACAGTGAAATTGGTCATTCGTGTTCTCACTGAGACCCTTAGAGGGCTTGTCATTAAGAAGGTAATCCAAGTAGAGCAAGAATGTGCTTCTGGGACCAACTGGGGATAGGACAGCCCAGCTGAAACTGCATTTTAGGTCACCATGGTCCAGGGTTGTAGTGCATGGTACTTGAAACCCAAGGGAAAGAGCATCTTGGCGTAGTCCCTAGACAGGGAGGGCGAAGGACATCCTTCCTGGTTGGCTTCTCTGACTCCAGCGCCCAGAGCCAACTTTTGATTGTTATGAACATCCGAATTTTAGTGCACCTTCTATCATGAATTCTTTTCCCAAACTAAATGGCAAATTTGCGAGCGTTATCACTTGGGTCCCTCTAGTCTTCATTAGCAATAGCAACTTGTTTAACTGCCACTGTCAGAGAGGGTTTACTGACCCAGCTAAAAGCAGGATGCATTTACAAGGAAACATTCCCCACAGGCAGGAAGAGTGAGTAGTGCCATTCCTTAGACAGGCAGGGCAAAGGGAAGAATCTTCTACAACAACCAAGGCATTCATTTTTTTTGGAAAGTCTTCTGAGAGTTTGTTTTTAGATAAATAGACAATGATGGCTTCACTGACACAAACCATTAACTTTTCAGCCATAAAATTCTTTAAAAATAATCTAAGCTGCAACAACAGGCTACACATTGGATATTAATGAATGGCTCAGCAGGTGAAATTAGGAAACTTACATATTTACTGCCCAGGTGGAGGAAGGATTCATCAGGCTGTCAGTTCTTGGCTTTTCCTTGTGCAGAATGCTCACCTATGAACAGAGCATATGTTTTGATCTATAAACTCAGAGAATGACTGAGGATGAAAATAAATTTCATTGGCTTGTTTTTGTGCTTTTCAAGGAAAGTTCAATTCTGTAGGAATATCATTAGAGCCACAATTTGCCTCTTGGTATTGTCTGAAAACATTCCCCAGGATTTATGAGCTTTTTAAGCCATCATCCTTTGTCCCCCTAAAGGAGCAACGCGAACTCATTTCCCGGGAGTGCAGGGGGTGTGGTTGGGAGATGACAAGGACACATATACCCTGGGGATTGAATTATTGATTTTTGCTTGTTCTATGAGCTGGGCCTTCTAAGGAAGCTCATATCAGATATTTAGGATGCCGTTTTACCAGGAAGACATTCCAGGATCTTTCTGTTTAAATCATTCAGCCAGAGTTTTGTGAAAATGAATATCTAGGACAACACCAACACTTTGGTGACATACAGAGCAGCAACAGTCAACATTATTCAATGTTACCATGTCATTCCACTATCCAACATTAAGGTGAATATGAACCTAGGGTGGTTGAAAGCTGAATCACCCCAAGCAGTTATCACACGGTACTGGATTCATGATCAGCGTATTCCACGCTACCTGTGTTCTTCCAGGTAGAATCAAGTAGCAACGCCAGTCACATTACAGAAAAGAATATCGGGGCCTGCGCCGCGGCTCACTAGGCTAATCCTCCGCCTTGCAGTGACGGGTTCTAGTCCCGGTCGGGGTGCCGGATTCTGTCCCGGTTGCCTCTCTTCCAGGCCAGCTCTCTGCTGTGGCCAGGGAGTGCAGTGGAGGATGGCCCAAGTGCTTGGGCCCTGCACCCCATGGGAGACCAGGAGAAGCACCTGGCTCCTGCCTTCGGATAGGTGCAGCGGCCATTGGAGGGTGAACCAACGGCAAAGGAAAACCTTTCTCTCACTGTCCACTCTGCCTGTCCAAAAAAAAAAAAAAAAAGAAAAAGAAAAAGAATATTGGGAAATAGCTTGAGTTTTTTTGACAAAATACCCTCATTTTGGTCCCAGTGGTTAGGACACCCCTCTTTCTGGGGACACTGTGGTTGTCTCCTCTTCCTGGCACAGTTGTGGCAATAATAATCAGTGCCAGCAACTTAGGAGAACCAGCTCAGAACTCCTCCTCTGGAGAGTGCTCGGAGAAACACCTGCCGCAGCACTGCACACGTGCAGACAACGCTCCTCTGCACCTTTGGCCCACTGTTTCTTTTGCAATACGCACAGCATCTGGAACCCACGGCTATGCAGTTCACGAATGAGAAGTAAGCACAGTAGACGTTGACTGTAGCACTACTATGTGTAGGCAGGCTTGGAAGGCAAATCATGTAGAAATAATTCTAATTCTTTTTTTTTTTTTTTTTTTGACAGGCAGAGTGGACAGTGAGAGAGAGAGACAGAGAGAAAGGTCTTCCTTTTTCCATTGGTTCACTCCCCAATGGCCGCTGCAGCTGGCGCACTGCGGCTGGCGCTCCGCACTGATCTGAAGGCAGGAGCCAGGTGCTTCTCCTGGTCTCCCATGCGGGTGCAGGGCCCAAGGACTTGGGCCATCCTCCACTGCACTCTGGGCCACAGCAGAGAGCTGGACTGGAAGAGGAGCGGCCAGGACTGAATCTGGTGCCCCGACCAGGACTAGAACCTGGTGTGCCGCCGCAGGTAGTGGATTAGCCTATTGAGCCGTGGCGCCGGCTGGAAATAATTCTAATTCTTAAGACTTCTCCTCAGGGTCTGTGTACTCGGGAACAGGAACTGAGAAAGAGTCAATGACAATATGATATCAGTAACAGCTCTAATATGTCTTAGGTAAAGCCAGACATCTAGATAAAACAACAACTAGAAGGAAACATACCAAAAACAGTTGTATCAAGGCTGCATTTTATGGGTGATTTCAAATTCTTTTCTAGTTTCCATTCTGTCTAATGTGGTCAAATGTTAAAATGGGAGTTTAACCCATGACAACATATTACAAGGCAGCCATATATATTATTTTGCCAAATTAATATTAAGCGGAAAAAGGGAAAAAAACACCTCAAGTAGGGCCATCAATGAAGCCTTGCTGGAAATGCAGAGAATGAATCAAATAGTGACAGGCTGAGAAGAGAGAGATGCATGTAGGCTTCGCACACGTGTGAATGGTTTGCTCACTGTTACCTGTTTGTCCAGCTCTTGTTGCTAATGAACTTCTTTTATTTGGAAAAATAAATTAGTTTAAAAACAGCCCTGACTATACATTTAATGAGTAATTACCACAATACATCAATTAGTATTAGTGTACTGATGCAATGCTAATGAAATGTGATGACCATAATGGTTAGCCAGAAGCGGGGAGGAGAGAGTAACAGAGAGCATCTCCTTCCAAACAGCTTGGGGTCAGTGAGGAAGGCAGTCAGGGCCGGTGGGTAAAGGAGGTCTGAAGATGCACTACGTATGTTTGCTAGTTCTCACGGACTGAACTTCATGAAAGGCCTTGTAGAAGTGCTAAGGTGTCTGGACTTAGACAGTAAGAACTTATCAAAGTTTTCTAAGCAGTGGAGTATTTTCATGAACTCAGATCTGCTTCATTTTTGCTCCCGATGGTTCAAAATCAAATAAGGTTTTGAATAAGTGCAATGACACTGTATTTTTCCCTGTAGACTAATGTATTCTGTAACCATTTCAAGTAGTTTTCTTCAGAATTCTTACAGCCTAACATATTAAACACGAGATGGCATACATGAATGCCGTGAGATGTGACGTAAGTGAGAATCAGGATGAAAGTGCACCATGCTACACTTGGATTTCTCAGGCAGTCATAGTGATGTTTAACTTGGCAAGGTTTCTTATTAAAGCAGAATGATAGCTACATTTCGCATAAAGGACTCCTTGATTTGCCACGTTTGGTGCTCGATTCTTTTCTGGAAGATCAAGCTTACTATACTCCAGCAGGATTTCTCTTTTCCATGAAAGAAAGCTAGAAATATAAACATGTGCAGGCTACATTTTCAGCAGAAGACACTGCTGGAGAGAACATATTTAGTGGGAACAAGGAGTTTGGACAGCTGAGCGAAGTGACCCAATCATAGGAGCAGGATTTAGGGGCAAGGGACTGTCTTCCCAGGAGTACTGAACAGAATTCCAGCCGTGGCTCCTAGAGGCTTCTAGAAACCAAGAAAATTTAGCACTCACTGGCATTTTCCCAGAAGGTGAGTTGCTGCAGAGGTCTGTTTCCTTGGAAACCTTGTTTATTGGCCTCTTCAATGGTACAACTTATTTTGAGATAAAATTCCAAAGTTTCTATATTGAGGTAGTGACTGCTAACTACAACCAATTTTCATGGTGTCTAAAACTCAAATTTCACTGTGCTACTCACTTATGCATCTGATTAACAACATATTCCTTATAACTTGCAGCAAATAAGTTAAATTTTAACAGTAATCAATTCTGAGTGGTAGGTGGTCATATATTTGCTTTATAAAATTTCTATATTTTCAGTATTTCAAAAAATTCATATTTAAATATATCCAATAGTAGAAACATTGAGCTAATCTTGTGAATTTACATTAAACCTAATCACTTCAAGTTTTGTTCTAGTTACATTTTTGGAAAGGTGTCAGTATTAGGCAAGAGATACTTAAGTAAAAAATAATTTTAATGATCCAAATTTGGGACAATGTGGTACAACAGCTAAGCCATAGCCTGTGGTGCTGGCATCCCAGATGAGCGCTGGTTAAGAGTCTTTGCTGCTCTGCTTCTGACCCAGCTCCAGGCTGATGCTCCTGGGAAAGCAGCAAAAGATGGCTCAAGTGCTTGGGCCCTTGCTGCCAGTGTGGGAGACCTGGACGGAGTTCTTGGCTTCTGGGTCCAACCCAGTGGTTGAACCATGTGGGTAGTGAACCAATGGATGGAAGATCTCTCTCTCTCTCTGTCTGTCTCTTTCCTTCTCTCCCTCCCTCTCTCAGTAACTCAGCCTTTCAAATAAACAAATTTCTTTAAACAAATCCTCTGTTGAGTATAGTGAGCACAGTTTTACAAGAAACAATCCGAGTAACTTTTGAAAGACAGTGGAAAGAGAACTGTTTGCTAGTGTTTTAGTAGCTATCAAACTCAGCTAATAACAGACTTTTGTAAAAATTGTGGTAATATAAAGAGCATTTGGAGAGCATTAAGTTTTATATTATTAATTCTGAATTATTGAAATCTACTCTGCATCACTAATTTCGGTCTTGCTTTGTCACCAGATATTTTCTAGGGTACTCAGCTAGGTTGACTTTTGAGAGGTTCTTTTGTTGAAGTCAGTGTAATTTCTAAATTGAAGTTGGCAGAAATAAAGGTATCAGAGAATCTATCTTATTGTTTCCATGATATTTCCTCTTTAGACCTGCGCCCCTGCGGGTCTGTTCCAGTGATGACTGCAGTCACTACACAAGTGGGAGAGTGTTTGGAGAGTTTTCCTGGGCTTTGAAAAAGAGTCCACTATTCAGTTAAATTGGCTTTCCCTTCTGGAAGCCATGACCCCATTGTTGGTTGACATTTCCTTGATAGAAATTTCTTGACATTTGCTTGACAACTGGTTGACATTGCCTTGATAGAAACTGATAGAAATGGGTGTTGGAAAACTGTGGATGCTTTTTTGACCCCAGTCTCTTCCTCACAAGCAGAGCCAAGGGCTCCTAAACTGAGGGTGCTGGCAGGTGCTGGTTGGCACCCAACCCATAGTGTGAAGAGCCCTGGACACTGCAGTGTGTGATGAAAAGCCCACAGGTGAGCACATGAAAGGACTGGGAGACCCCTGGTACCCACAGGCAGGTTAGGAGAACTTTTCTTGTGCAGTGACATAATCATGCCTAAGGTCCCTCGAGAGCTTACTCAAGACTAGTGCACACTTCGGCTACTTGATCCATTTCCAGCCCTCTTCCCTGACTGGTAGAGTAGTCTGGGTTACTTAGCCAAGGCTGCTGACCAGCCAGAAGACATCTGTGGGTGATTCTAACCATTCTATGGATGAATTTTTGCTCCTTTTCCCTTTCAGAAGGTTACGCCTGAGAAAGAATAGCATGGGAATACTGGAAGTGTGCAGCACAAAGTAGAACAGAAACAAGAATGAAGGGAGGTCTCTCTTACAACAAAACAGCTCATGTGAAGGTTTCAGCACATCTGAGCAGGCTTTGGTACATCTGCTCTTCAAGACTGTTATCTGCCTCTTGTAGCTCTGGTTTGAATTCCCCCCCCTGAGATTGGGCCCACAATCAGCCTTTAAGATCTTGCTCTTTTAAATTTATTTTCTATGAACTTTTTGAAGTACTCTTTTTTTGACAAGCAGAGTGGACAGTGAGAGAGAGAGACAGAGAGAAAGGTCTTCCTTTGCCATTGGTTCACCCTCCAATGGCCGCCGCGGCCAGCGCACCGTGCTGATCTGAAGGCAGGAACCAGGTGCTTATCCTGGTCTCCCATGGGGTGCACCTCCACTGCACTCCCAGGCCATAGCAGAGAGCTGGCCTGGAAGAGGGGCAACCGGGAAAGAATCCAGTGCCCTGACTGGGACTAGAACCTGGTGTGCCAGCGCTGCAAGGCAGAGGATTAGCCCTGACTTGATCAGCTCTTGTCCTGACTGTTGATGTACAATGTAATACTTTATTCATTTTAGGATTTTTTTTCTTTGTTTTGTTCTAGTACTATTGGTTGAACTCTGTAATTAACACACAATTATTCTTAGGTGTTTAAATTTTAACTGAAAAATGATCCCTGTTAAATATAAGAGTGGGAATAAGAGAGGGAGGAGATGTACAATTTGGGACATGCTCAATCGGACTTGCCCCAAATGGTGGCGTTAGAAACGTGCCAGGGGATTCCAATACAATCCCATCAAGGTGGCATGTACCAATGCCATCTCACTTGTCCAAGTGATCAATTTCAGTTCATAATTGATCACACTGATAGGTCTAAGAGTCAAAGGGATCACACAAACAAGACTAGTGTCTGCTAATACTAACTGATAGAATCAAAAAGGGAGATAACGATCCATCATGGGAAGCAGGATACACAGCAGACTCATAGAATGGCAGATGTCCTAAATAGCACTCTGGCCTCAGAATCAGCCCTTAAGGCATTCGGATCTGGCTGAAGAGCCCATGAGAGTATTACAGGCATGGAAAGCCAAGACATTCTGGAAAAAAAAAAAAAAAAAAAAAAAAAAAAAAAAAAAAAAAAAAGAAGACCTAAATGAAAGATCTCTGCGGGTGAGTTCCCAGTGGAAAGAATGGGGCCATAAGGCCGGCGCCACGGCTCACTAGGCTAATCCTCCGCCTAGCAGCACCGGCACACCGGGTTCTAGTCCCGGTCGGGGCGCCGGATTCTGTCCCAGTTGCCCCTCTTCCAGGCCAGCTCTCTGCTGTGGCCAGGGAGTGCAGTGGAGGATGGCCCAGGTGCTTGGGCCCTGCACCGCATGGGAGACCAGGAAAAGCACCTGGCTCCTGGCTCCTGCCATAGGATCAGTGCAGTGCGCCGGCCGCAGCACGCCGGCCGCGGCGGCCATTGGAGGGTGAACCAACGGCAAAGGAAGACCTTTCTCTCTGTCTCTCTCTCTCACTGTCCACTCTGCCTGTCAAAAAAAAAAAATGGGGCCATCAAAGAAGGAGGTACCTTTCTCTGAAGGGAGGAGAGAACTTCCACTTTGACTATGACCCTGTTGGAATAAGATCGAAGTCGGTGAACTCAAAAGGCTTCCATAGCCTTGACAATTCATGACTAGAGCCTAGGGAGATTACTGACACCATAAACAAGAGTGTCAAATTGTTAAGTCAACAACAGGAATCACTGTGTACTTACTTCTCATGTGGGATCTGTCCTTAATGTGTTGTCCAATGTGAAGTAATGCTCTAACTAGTACTGAAACAGTATTTTACACTTTGTGTTTCTGTGTGGGTGCAAACTGATGAAATCTTTATTTAATATATACTAAATTGATCATCTGTATATAAAGATCATTTAAAATGAATCTTGATGTGAATGGAATAGGAGAGGGAGCAGTAGATGGGAGGGGTGCGAGTGCGAGGGAAATTATGGTGGGGGAGCCATTGTAATCCATAAACTGTACTGTGGAAATTTATATTTACTAAATAAAAAAAATAAAAAAAAGATCTTGCTCTTAATCTGGGGTAATAGGGGTCAGCGTTGTGGCATAGTGGATAAAGCCACTGCCTGTGCTGCTGGCATCCCATATGGGCACCTGTTCGAGTCTTGGCTGTTCTACTTCTGTTCCATCTCCCTGCTAATGTGCCTGGGAAAGCAGCAGAAGGTGACCCATGTCTATTACTCTCTCTGTGTAACTCTTTCAAATAAATGAAAAAATACTTAAAAATTTAAAAATTCGGGGCAACATAGTTGTCTGTTTTACAAAATTGTTTTTAGTTACCAGAAATATCTATAATGTACTTTGCCATTCTGCAGATCTGACTTTATAAAATTTATGTATTTTTAAAGATTTATTTACTTATTTGAAAGTGTTACACAGAGAGAAGAGAGGCAGAGAGAGAGAAAGAGAGAGGTCTTCCAACTGCTGGTTCACTCCCCAGTTCGCCACAACAGCCAGAACTGGGTCTATCTGAAGCCAGGAGCCAGGAATTTCTTCTGGGTCTCCCATGCGGGTGCAGGGCCCCAAGGATTTGGGCATCTTCCACTGCTTTCCCAGACCATTGCAGAGAGCTGGATCAAAAGTGGAGCAGTCGGTTCTTGAACTGGTGCCCATATGGGATGCCAGCACTGAAGGTGGCAGTTTTACTCACTACGCATAGCGGCGGCCCCCAAATTTATGTATTCTGAAGGCTATTTTCCAAAAGTAAAACTTATGGAACTGAATATTGAAAATGTATTGGGGTAACTTGACACTGGAAACACAGTTTTGAATTATTCTTATAATATCAATGTTTTATGTAATAGTCATCTAAGAAAAAAAAATCTATGCTTTTTATTAATTAATTAATTTTATTTTACTTGAAAAGCAGATAAGCTGAGAAAGGGGAGAGATCCTCCCTCTGATACTTCACTTCCCAAATGCCAGCAACAGCCAGGAACAGACTCATCCAAATCCAGGAAACCAGAATTTAGTCTGGCTCTTCCACGTGCGGCAGTATTTGAGCCATTACCACCGCCTCCTCGGCTGCGCACTGCCAGGAACCAGGAATGAGAAGTGGAGCCAAGACTCGACCTCAGGTAGTCCCATGTGGGATGTGGGCATCCCAAGTGGTACCTTAAGCACTCTGCCAAATGCTCACCCTTGCTTTTTCTTTCTTTATTTTTATTCATTTAATTTCACTTTATTCAAAAGGCAGAGAGACAAAGAAAGATCTTCTATATGCTGATTCACTCCCCCAAAACCCACAACAGCCAGGGCTGGACCAAGTTAAACCAAGAGCTCAGAGTCAAATCTGGTCCTCCCACGTCGGTTGCAGGGACCCAAGTATTTGAGCCATCACCTGCTGCCTCCCAGGATACACATCTGCAGGAAGCTGGATTGAAAGTGGAGATGGGACTCAAACTAGACACTCTGATAGGGGAAGAAGGCATCTTAAACATGAGCCAAATGCTCACCCCTGCTTTGTATTTTAAAAGCTGTACAGCATCTAATTTCTCATTGTTCTTCACATAAACAGAACTCATACAAATTCTATCTGTATTTTGAAATAGTTTTATGTTTTAAATCAAATGAATATAATTAAGAAATTGGAAATAGAAATGCAAATTTTATCAACAGGAAATTGTGTTTTATCTTTATTGGGAAGCTCAATTAAAATTATATGAAATTATATAAAGCATGATTTACATTTTAGCTGATAAACATATCCTGGTTCCAGCTGGCTATATCCAGACATCACTAAAAATGAAATAAAACAACAGCAACAATAAAACATTTTACAAACTTAGTGCTCTTTGTGTCACTGCTGCAGAATAGGGAATGCCTCTTATTACCACGCACTCCTTAGAACACATCTATACTCCAGAAGGCCTGCTAGTCCAATAAGCTCATCAAAAATGGTATTTGTAGGACCCTTCTTTTCTAATTTATTTATTTATTTTGGTTAAAAAGCAGAGAGAAAGACACACACGCACACACTGACAGGGCAGGTGTTCAGGGGGAGAGAGACTGAGAGGTGTTTGGGGAGAGAGAGAGAGAGAGAGAGAGAGAGAGAGAGAGAGAGAATCTTTCATCTGGTAGTTCCACAAATGCCCACAACAGCTAGGGCTGTGCCAGGCTGAAGCCAGGATCCAGGAACTCAATACCAGTGTCTATGTGGGTGGCAAGAACCCAAGTACTCGAACCATCACTTGCTTCCCAAGATCTGTGGATGCAGGAAGCTCGAATCCAGAGCAAAGCCAGAACTCAAGACCAGGCACCCTGATATGGTATGTGGGTATCCCAAGTGGTGTTTTAACCCTTGTGTCTAATGCCACCCCTCCTCATCTTTTCTTAATAAGAGAATTTGTATTTATTGAGAGTTACTAGACCATTTCTACATAAGTTATGCATTTTGACTAAGTTTCCCATGAACTAAATCCAAGGTTGCAGTTAGATTTTGAAGTAACCATCTCTCATCTAAACACCTGGAAACTTACCAGACTCATGAGAAATTGTCTTAACTGTTAGAAGCTTCACACTCTCTTTATCGGACTGAGGTCTGTTTGAGACAGAAAACATAAGTTAACACCACAGTAATTAGCACTGCATGTCTGTGAACGAAAGCCAATGTGACACAAACAGAATGAAGAAGATGTGCAACCATATGTGTTTTTATATGTTTCTATGGCAAAACCTGTATTTCCTCACATGCAAATATTCAAATACTTTGGCACTTTCCATTTCTTCTGGAATCAAACCAATAAATCACTGTCACAGTATTACTGTAGTGATCATCAGATACATTCAACACCAGCATGGGTCAAGGACAACCCCTGTCACAAGGTCCGTGTCATGAATTAAGAAGAGGATGAAACAGAAATGTTTCCCAACCTTTAGGGCTGATGCTGAGTTCTGGAGATATCCCTGTTCACGAGATCCTGAGATACGGTGGAGAAATGTCTGACTGCCTAACTAAGATTTCCACTCATCCTTTCTCAGACCCCAAACAGTTTCAAACCCCAATTCCTTCGCCTGGACATCTGTAAAGCTTCCCTTTCAAAAGTCAGATGGGTTGGGAATGTAGGGATATCTAAAGTTCAAAACCTGATGGTATACAGAAATACTTATGTAAAGGCAGGCTACGAAGTCAGGTCAACAAAGAAAATCTAGCCATAGTATTTGATTTTTCCATGTAAGCAATTCTTCAGATCTCTTGGTAGCACCTCAGTCTGTCCATTAGCCTGGGTTGTTAAGGGCTTTGTTTTAACAAAATCCACATAGAGTAATCATCTGGGGTTAAGGCAAAGCCACTTAGAATTGGCTCAGAGTACAGTTGCAATTTTTCTCTAACTTCGTGCTGAAAATTTTACTAGGAAAACTATCTGAAAACTCTAAAGTGTGTCTTCTATGATATTTTCCTTCATAGCTATATTCTTCTACTTTTCCATTTCACCTTATTATTTTCCATTAACCACTTTATCCAAGCTGAGGTCAATGTTTTCAATGAGGTGGAATTTCTCTATTAAATAGGGAGAGCCCTGACAAATAGTCAACTCCCTTCAATAGTGCTTGCTGCAAACATTTCTTTTAGACAGTCGCACTGAAAGTGTAAGTAGAAGATCATTTTCCCCATGTAAACGATAGAGTCAGAGGTTCAAGAAAGCAATGATGTGGCCTTACTTACTGATCATTTCCATTTTCCGGTGTGCCTGGGAGAGGAGAGAGCTGCTGTTAGTGTTGCAGAGAGCTTGGCCTCCCAAACCCTGAGACCCCCTCCTGCTTCCCGTGCATTTTTAAATGATTTCATCCCCTCGCAAACATTTCCTCAGGTATGAACAGTTTATACCAGGTTGACATTCATGAGAGAGTCCTCATCAGGCCAGCTCCACTACCTGTACTTCTGGACTCATTTTGGTCTCCTAGTTTCAATTACGATGCAAAACTATCGTCCTTTATCACACAGCCAACAGACACCAGAAAAGTATTTCAGTGTCTCTGAAAACATTCTCTGCAAAGTTTCGAATTACCTTTTAGACCAGAGAATTGACTTTCCTACTTTCCTTTCAAACACTGCTCTTCCCTGGGACACAAATCACTGTATTTGTGGTGAGCTACCACGTGGATATTGTTTCTAATTGCATCTTAAAACCACTGATTCGGCCTCTCAGAACTGCCCTGCGAAATGTCAGAGGCTGCAAGCTGCAACTAATCCTTTGTATTCTTTTCCAGGTTGCCTCACGATTATGTAGGCGGAGAACATCTAGGGTGGAGAGTGAGCGTGCCCTGCGGGAACACAGCCTTCTCAGCAGTGCGTGCTGGTGGTGGAACCTTGCATTAGGCCACGTGTTTAATGGGATTGTTTAAGGCCCCCTTGTTATGCTTCCGCTTCTGCCTTGGTTCTATTCCACTGCCACTTAGTTCCTGCCTCTCGGATTTGTTTTCAGATCTAACCTAGCTCTTTCGCATCACTGGGATAGGCCTTTTGATCTTAATTCTGGCTCTGACCACCCTTGTGCTACCAGACCTAAATTTCCACTAACATTTCAGGTGATTCTTAGTTAGGATGTCCTGTCATGACTCTTACAACTGAGATCTAATTCTTTGACTATCTCAGATGGTGCTACCAACTAGATCTACCTCATCCTATCTCCATCAGTAGGACTTTAACACATTTTTGTTTGATCCCTGAGTCAAATATAATATCATCCTGATGCTCACAGTCCTGTTTCAAAGTGAGTTATGGAAATTTTCATATATTTATGTTTTTCTATAGAGTGCTGGGCTAATTAGCAAATATAAGAATGTCAACAGACTATTTTCTGCATATGTACCATGCTTATTTGGGGTTAAAGCTCAGCCTACTGTTAATATTATCTACATAAGCTTGATTTTGTACTGAAATCTATGATTCATGTTGTTTTTCAGAGAGTAGAGTTTATTTAGTAATTTTCTGAACTTAATGAAGTCTCACCCACATACTTGAAGAGGAATTAACTGAGGGTGTTTAATGGTGTTAATTTAATGATAACAATGCTATAAATTCTATTTGGGGAACAAAAGTCAACAGTAACCAAATAGATTTGGCTAGTTATGCAACTGCCAAACTGGTTTTAAAGCGCTGTATGTCTTCCAAATAACTTCTCATCATGGTAGGAACTTTATACATCCGGCATTTCCTTTAATGGAAAATGTCAACTTTTCAATAACATATTTTCAAAACTTCCTTTGCAAAGAAAATTCTCAGTACAGGGTACACTTTACAAATAGATTCCGCATACTAATGTGTACCTATCCTATATACTCGACACCCACGGGCTTCAAAGTGGATGGCTGATTGCCTGCACCAAGAAGGATTGGTGGCTCGAAAACTTAGAGTAATTAAGCTGATTTATAAAAATGCTATTTCCTGTCTGGATTCTGGGCAAAGAAACATATTTCAGACATTATCAAGAAGTTTATTCACTCACTACCAGAGGAAAAGGTATCAATTTGTTTTCTTCTTCTTTTCCACCAGAAGCTAAAATGAACAGTGCTGCTTGGGACTCCCGACCTCTCCCTGCACTGTCACAATCACGCCCCTGCTGATGGAGTCACGACACTCAGTGGACAGTTTCAGGAGCAGCATCAATACTGTCCTGGGGGCACAGTGTCCGTGAGGCAACCAGAAAATAGAGTAGCTTATACGTCTTATTTTCCTCTCCTCTCCTCTCCTCTCCTCTCCTCTCCTCTCCTCTCCTCTCCTCTCCAGGCAGAGTTAGACAGCGAGAGAGAGAGAGAGAGACAGACAAAGAGAAAGGTCTTCCTTCTGTTGATTCACCCCCCCAAATGGCCGCTATATCTGGCGCGCTGCGCCAATCCAAAGCCAGGAGCCAGGTGCTTCCTCCTGGTCTCCCATGCGGGTACAGGACCCAAGCACTTGGGCCATCCTCCACTGCCTTCCCGGGCCACAGAAGAGAGCTGGACTGGAAGAGGAGCAACCAGGACAGAATCCGGCGCCCCAACTGGGACTAGAATCTGGGGTGCCAGCGCCAAAGGTGGAGGATTAGCCAAGTGAGCTGCGGCGCCGGGGCTTATAAGCCTTATAAAAATAACAAATGAGAAACATCTCAAAAAAGTACTTTTTACCTTTTAATAGTTTATGAAACTTAGAGGTTTGTTAGTGAAAGGTAAGATTATATTTTACTGGACATCAAAAAATATAGTGCATCAGGCATAGAACAAAGGTCTCCTGTCTACTAAGTACAATGCATGTGGACAATAGGTCACTGGGGACTTGCAGGGTTTGTCAGATTTGAGGGGAGGCAGGTACATTCCGATGTGCTTGACTTAAGTATGATGAATGCAGTCATCAGTTTCTGTAGAATCAAACTTCAAAGAACAGCCCACTGTGGTTGGAGAGGTGGTGTGTTATAGGAAGGTAATAAATTGGTGTTGGAGCTGGAGCTTCCAGGGTAAGCTGGAGATCAGGTGTGTAACAAACACTCGAAGATGGGGGGCGGGGATGGAAATTTTAGGAGAAGAAATATTATAAACAGAGTCATGGCTCCATGAAGCTGTACGACATCATCACGGCAGGGGTCTGGAATAGATAGATCGTTAAGGGAGTTAAGGAAGAAAGAAAGATAGTTCAGGTAATGTAGGGGGACTGCTGAATCATGGGAGCTGAATGAAGGCGGAGTCAGGCAAAGCGCTGAGCGAAGAGTGCCAAAGTCCCTGAAGCACAGAGCAAGACTGAACAGAGACAGACAGAAATCCAATATGGTACGGGACTTTGTAAGATGTATTAATATTGGCTCAGGAATTTTGACAAACATAAGACATTAATAATAAGGGAAGTGTGAAGTACACGGGAGCTCCCTGGGCTATCTTTGACAATTTTCCACTAACTAAATCTAGTCTAACTTAGGTTTATTTAAACAAAGGACAAAATATATAACAGCGTCCCTTCAATGGGAGGAAGCTGTGACTCCACAGAGGGAAGTTAGCCCCATAACTAACACTGTTCGTGAGAGTGTGGCCCCCAAGCTGAACTTTTAATGAGCCCTCACTTTGTTCTCTGTTAGGTGGAAACGGAAAAGATCTCCAACTGGACACAACGATGCCCTACTAGGTACTTTTTGCTGCTCTATGTCCCTGACTGCCCACAAAATTTGGGGCTCTTTCATGAATAAGAACTTGTGTTTGATACCTACCCATAATGGTTCCTCCTCCCTTCTGACCTTTACCTGCATTTAATGGATTTCTCTGCCCCTTTCCCTCTATTTTTGTGATCACGCACTATGGATTTTATTTCTATCTGTAACCCTTCTGTCCTTTTAAGAGTTTAAGCTCTATTTTAGATCGAACATATATTCACTCTGCTTTCAAGAAAACAAAACTGAACACCATGACCTACCTGGGTCTGTCTTCCAGCACATCCGGTACAAACCCACCAGAACAAATACTGAGAGTGTTACTACAATCAGAGCAATAACCACCGGCAAAATAACACCTAAAACACATTGGAAGCATTGTCAGTTAGAGTGCCTACTGAATTGCATATTCGTGGAGCAAAAGCATGCAGGCTGCTTTTGTCCTTTAAACATCATTCCATTAAAATGTTATATTCTGGGCAAAGATTTCTCTAATTCACGGGTTTTCCTCTCGTTGTCATTTCTGACATATCCACTTGATGTCAGTCTTGTTAGCCTTTCTGAAGCAAAACTTCAGATCTAGGAGAGACAGTCCCCCATCTTCCTGGAGACTGAGGGAGTGAGGAAATGGATGCCCTGAGAAGTAGAAGATGTCCTCTAAGTTAGAATTAAACTCACATTCACAAATTGCATTCCCCAACACTTTACAGTGAGGCTACTGATATATATGAACACACACACACACATACATGAACACACATACATACATGCACACATACATTTATAATATACATAGTGACTCACCTGAGACTGCTCTAGTCCTAATGCTGATATTCTGAAAAACTCATGAGTATCTTTCTATAACAAAATTGTCAAACTGGCACAGACATTAGTAAAGTTAAGTGAATATCATAGTAGCTATGATTCCTAAAAATGAGCTATGGGGTTCAGGTGAGGGCTGTGCATGTGTGTATGTTTGCATGTTTAGGGGAAGAGGCACTGCTGCAATCACTCAGGGTATATGCTATGTTTTTGGTTTTATTATCTGCCTTCTGTGCTGACCATAAGTTACCAGGTAAATACCGCGGTCACGACAGCAGAGCTGCTGTAGGGGCATGTGGGGTCTTTAAGTATTCATGAGAAATGCAAAATGAAAATAAAACTGTGCACGGATTTTTTTTAAAAAATTGTATCAGAATATACTTATCTTTTATTTCTTGAAGTCCCCTCTTAGAATTAGAGGGATTGAAATTAAAGTTACTATTTAGTTAGATATTCCCATCTGCTTGCATATCGGCTCCTCATTTATGTATCAGGAGGGTAATACAGTCCTCTGATTCATAGGGTGGTTTATGCTTCCATTTTCTGGGTTAAATATTTGTTTTAATTATGTTCTGCTGATTTCATAACAATCCTTGAATGAGATTTTGATTGCCTCCTAAAATGAAGACACCATGAATCAGCAGGTCAATAATTTCTATGCTAAGTTATTTAATGGAATGGCTTTACCCAAACCTAAGATAATCTTTTATGATTCCAGATTTACAGAAGTTCATCTTATCCTTAATTGCTGGGGAAATTATTAAAGATTCTATGTTCAGTCTTAGCAAACACGCAAGGGTGCTTCAAAAATTTCCTGCTTGGGGCCGGCTCTGTGGCACAGTAGGTTAATCCTCCGCTTGCGTTGCCTGCATCCCCTATGGGCACCGGTTCTAGTCCCACCTGCCCCTCTTCCAATCCAGCTCTCTGGTATGGCTTGGGAAAGCAGTGGAAGATGACCTAAGTGCTTGGGCTCCTGCACTCGCATAGGAGACCAGGAAGAAGCACCTGGCTCCTGGCTTTGGATCGGTACAGCTCCAGCTGTTGTGGCCATCTGGGGAGTGAACTATTGGAAGGAAGACCTTTCTCTCTGTCTTTCTCTCTCAGTGTCTGTAACTCTACCTCTCAAATAAATAAATAAATAATTTCCTGCAAATATAGAATTAAAAGATAAGTATATTTTGGTTCAAAAATTGTGAAACTTGTGCATAATTTTTTTTTCATATTACACATTTTCAGTGAACTTTTTTGAAGAACACTCATCTATGATTTTGATAAAAAGGAGCATTTCTTAAAGGCCATTTTTAACGGTTGGACAAAATTCTGTCAAGGTGATAAATCATTTTTTGGTATAATTTTTGTTCTTAGTATTTTATATTGAAACTATTTAATTGACAATGATGGAATTTATTCAAAATATACAACTTGAAAATCTTAACATAATTCATTCTATGGGGATCTCAGTGTTTGTGTGTTTTGGCATATTGGAAACTTGTCTCATTGACTCATCCTTGGCCCTTGGTGGTAGCTGCTTAGCTCTAAGGTAGGAAAAACTTTTTTTTTTTTTAAAGATTTATTTATTTGTTTGAAAGTCAGTGTTACACAGAGAGAGGAGAGGCAGAGAGAGAGAGAGAGAGGTCTTCCATCCCCTGGTTCACTCCCCAGTTGGCCACAATGGCCAGAGCTGCGCCGACCCAAAGCCAGGAGCCAGGAGCATCCTCCAGGTCTCCCACGCGGATACAGGGGCTCAAGGACTTGGGCCATCTTCTACTGCTTTGCCAGGCTACAGCAGGGCGTTAACCGGCTGCACCACAGCACCGGCCCAGAAAAACAATTTTTTTTTTTTTTTAACTATGCTCATTATGACCAGATTCACAAGGCCAGTACTGTGGCATAGTGGGTAAAGCCACTGCCTGCAGTGCCAGTATCCCATATGGCCACCGGTTTGAGACCCGGCTGCTCCACTTCCGATCCAGCTCTCTGCTATGGTCTGGGAAAGGAGTAGAAGATGGCCCAAGTCCTTGGGCCCCTGCACCCACATGGGAGACCCGGAAGAAGCTCCTGGCTCCTGGCAACAGCTCCAGCTGTTGCAGCCATTTGGGGAGTGAACCAGCAAACGAAAGACCTCTCTCTCTCTCTCTATTTATTTATTTTTAATTTTTTTAAATTTTTTGACCTCTCTCTCTTTCTTTCTCAGCCTCTGCCTCTGTAACTCTGCCTTTCAAATAAATATATAAATCCTTTAAAAAAAAAGAGACCACATTCACTTGTAGGGAATTCTTAAGGAGGCAGCAGTTAGATAGGCATATAATGGTATCGCAGATTCTGTCAAGTTGAGAGAAAAGGCTGCCCATACTCTGAGCCTTCCCATTCACTGGTCACATACCAACACAGCTATTGCCATGAATGAAGATATGTCTGTAACTCACTTGAATAGGAGGGGTTAGTTGATGAAGAGCTCATATTTTTTCCATCCTCGGTACCTATTATTTTAAGAAAGAAAAAGACAAGTCACTTTGGTTAATGTATGCAATCCCCACAATTTTCCCTCTACTTCCATTTAAAGCAGCATCTGTGACTTACAGGTATGATGCTGCAAGAGGGAGAAATTCTGTGCCCTTGTGGGAAAGCTCTGTTCTGTAACTCAAGATTGGTCGGGTTTTCTTGGTGACAAAGGTGGAGCAGAGCAGGGTTCCACTCAGGCACAATGAAATCATACCTTGAGACTGTAAGATGATTGCTGGAGTTGTTACTGCTGCTGAAGGCAACGTATTGGTTTCAGAAAATGGTCCATCTGGTTGTGAAGTGTTAACTGTGGAAACTAAAAAATCCAGAGTCAGAGAGTAACATTAATTCTTCATATTGGATTTCTTTGCAGAATCAAACCGTCTGCATTTCTGAAGATCTGTGGAAACTATTTATTGTTGAATAATGGGATACATGCTGTCATATTACTGAAGTGTGAGTTCATTTAGTTCTCCTGGAAAGATGATTAAATCTGTAACCACAAAACCTAGATATTACTATTTAATTTTCACAAGTTGGCCTAGAAAACTCGAGGAAGTCTCTTACCCTAGAGTATAAACTGTATCACATGGTGCGTTAGATTCTTGAGGCAAACAAATCTACACAAAAACATCATTCACGTATCAGATATTATAACTTTGGGCAATAGTGTTTTTTTTTTTCTATCATACATATTCAAAAGTCGCATAGATGCACAGGCCTTCAGATTTCTCAGTGGAATAGGAGAAAAGGTTGTATTTGTGGCTTTGATTAGAAGGATGGGGGATAAATCACAGAGGATGCGTTCATTTCCATCTCCTGAGCTCAGCTGCTGTTTACACGGTGTGCCTTTCCCACTGTCCATTTCCCATTTTCCACCCAAGGAAAATGTCATTATATATTTACTGTTACCATTACTTGTTTGTTTAACATTTGCCACCTTCAACTGGAAGGACTGAAACAGAAACTATAAATAAAAATGTATTATTCAAAATCCACATATCTTGAGAGGTTTAATGGAGATACAAATAAATAAAGGTTTCACAAATGTATGGTGTTTTTTTCTTGTGAATTTGGGATAAAATGTTATTTGCATTTAGAAAATTGCTTGAAAAAATGAATTCCCCTTCCTTCATGGTGGGCCTGTTTGCCTTGTCTATACTAAATTACCAGTTCCTGGAGAGCAAAGGCCGTAACTGTCACCACAGCGCACATGGAGCGCTTACCCCAGCGGGCGTGCAGTGGGATGTAGCTGACTGCTAGGCTCAACGAAGAGGTACCTCTTAGGACTGTGGCTCCTCAGGAGGACTGAGGCCGTGGGCAACTGCATCAAAGACAATGAGATTTCCATGGCTGCCCTGGCTCTTTCCTCCTTTGCCACCCACAGCCCAGCACGCGCCCTGCATGCTTGTGCATTTTTGACATCTGTGGGGGAAGAATAATGATTAGAGTCTGTGCCGTTCTTGCCATGGAAGAGGTCTGTGGGAGGAAGCTAGATATATGCCCCCAAGAACAAAGAAAAGTGCCAGCCTAGGCTAGCAAGCAAGCAGAAACAGGAATATTAAATGAAAGAGTAGGAACGAGCTGAAGCCTTGATGCTTTTAGTTCCTGTTTGCAGTGTCAGGTCCTTTAGTGAGGACAGATGCTCTTTCACTCGTGTTGGTAGAGAACACGATGACTGATTAAATAGCCAACGGGAGTAATCCTCATGGATCACCTACAGGTTATTTTTTAAGATCGCACATCCTATCTTTCTGCTTTCTTGTAGACAATGTTGTGCAATAGCTCCAGGACTGAACAGAATCTGGTTCACAGGAAACACCAAGACTCCCCACTTGGAGAGTGGATTGTCAGTCTCTGGTTACCGCTGAGGAACCGGAGGTAGCAATAGAGTTAGTCCTTCTTAATAGAACACCTGAGTGTCTCTTTAAATCAAGACTTTCACATTTTTTGTTTTGCTTTTCTTTTGACTGCAACCCTCAGTTAAGAATCATTTCTCAAACTAGTATAGACACACACACACATACACACACAGAATTACCTCTCTAAATGTGTGATGCCTTCTGGTGTTGCATTTTCTAGTTTCTCTTATTTCCTTTTTGCACATATTAGTTATGACCCCCGTGAGTGACTCACAGAGAAACTCACAGTTGATCATGTGATGTGATCAGATTGCTGAAATTATGGCAACTGGCTGAATTCACAAATTAGGACCCTGCTGCTGTTCTCTGTAATACTAAGATAAGAGGGATTCAGGCTGTGCTCAGAGCTGATGATTTTTTCTGGGTTCTGCTGAGATTCTTTTATTCCAAACAACTCTCCAAACTGCATTGTCAGGGGAGGTATGGGAGAGGTGTAGAGGAGTTAAGAGCGGGATTCTGATGCAGAATTCCTGGCTTCAAATCTAAATCTAGAACTTGCTCACAGCGGAATCATGGGCAAGTCACTGTACTGTTTTTTGTCTGTTTCTGCATATGTACACTGGGCTTATGATGCAATAGTATAATATCATAATATTATTTAGAAAAATTAATGAGCAACAATAATTTTAGCTGCTTAAACTAATATTTGATACTAATAAGTATACACAATATGAAGGTACTTAAGAGTTTATGGTGCAAAAAATATAAGCTTATTTTGATGCCAAGATTTTATAAATCCACATGTAGGTTTCTCAGAATAGGTATTTTCCATGAAATTTTGAAGACACTTTGCATCCATGTATTTCAAAAATTCTGCACCAAAATGGACTTGTCTTTTACTTCTACTTTCCATGAACTAGCTGAACCACCCTCATGTTACATAATATATATTATCATGCGATGTTAGGATACCATTATGTTGTGATTATGCCACTAGAGTTGAACCTTCCAAACAAAGGCAGCTTGTCTATTTTTTTCCAAAGCTCAAAATGTAAAAAACACACGAGATAGACTCTTCAGGCACTCCTTTGCTCTAGTCGGGAGCCAGTGTATGATGGTATGCAGTGTATGCTGCTCATGATCCGGTTTGCCCTTGGGCTCTGACTTCTGGTGACTATGGTGAATACTGAGTTTTGGATATTTTATGTCACAACTTAAACCAGTTTGCAATGTCATGTCAGAACTTGGAGCAAGTTTGAGGTGACTCTCAAAGCCAAGTCTGTTGTAATAATGTGCATTCAAATCCACCCCATGGTGCCTGATGGTGGTCCTTAGTTGGCTCTTGCTGTAAATCTCTCACTTGACAAATCAGTGGGAGTTTTAAAGATAGGATGCTTTATGGAGGTTGCAGGGCACTATGGGGTCATGGGAATGCACTGAACAGAATCCGACCAGAGGCCATGTAAGAGCTGCACATTCACCACCTGCTCTCTGAAATCCTTCATTGTGTCTACAGCGATGTCCTGCATTCCCAAGGCTGCTCTCAGCCACCAAGTGAACAAGGTAGGAATTTGAAGGCAGGTGTGTTTCTGGGAGACATCAACTCCTTAAAGAAGGAACTCGGGCTGGGGGGATTGCTGATGGCCTTCCTGAACCTTCCTTGGAGTGAAGGGCAGACTAGAGTGCTCCCACCCAACATTCGCTCCTTCTCCTCTCTGTATGTCAGACTTGCATCTCTGATGCCCTTCCCAGTGTCCTTGCCATTTTCTGTCACGGATATTTTCCCTGACAAAATCCCTGTCCCTTTAATTACATCTTGAATTCTGCTTCTTTGAAGAACCAAACTCTTCCTGTGGGGAAAAAACCCTTTCCCCATTCATGCGGTCATAAGAGATGTCCCTTTTCACTCTAGGCTCAGGGTCACTGGCTGACCAAAGTCCCCTCCTGAGAATTTGAGTGTGGTGGTTCTGGGTTGTTTCCAGGTGAAGCTCTGAAGGAACTATTGGTGGCAATGCCAGATTCCTGAAATTACCTGGGTCCTCTCCTTCTTAATTCTGTAGGCCTCCTAGTATCCTTTACATACACACACGCACACACACATCATTTAATTAAGCTGGAGTTAAATTCTGTTCGCTACCTAGCAACCTTGAGTATTTAATTTTTTAGTTATTTGTTTTGGCAAGTCGGATATGGCAGTTTGAAGTGCAACTACTTCTATCCAAGGACTTGGAGCAAGATCTGGTAAAGAAAATGACCAGATTTCAGACAAAAAAAATTTGAGCCCTATACCTGCAGTTTACTTTTATGTTTGCATATACAGACATAAAAATAAACATCATTTAATTCCATTTTCCATGAACTTTTTGAAGTTTTTCCCAAAGAAATCTTTTATTTAAGGAATACAAACTTCATAAGTAGAACTTTAGGAATATAGTGATTCTTCCCGCCATATTCACCCTCCCACCGACACTCCCACCCTTCCTCCTCCTCCCTCTCCCATTCCCAGTCCCATTCTCCATTAAGATTCACTTTCAATTAATTTTGTAAACAGAAGACCAATTCTATACTAAGTAAGATTTCAGCAATTTGCACACACATGCACAAAACTGTTTGAGAACAAATTTTACAGTTAACTTTCAAAATACAACTCATTGAGGACAGAGGTCCTGCATGGGAACTTAGTACACAGTGACTCCTGTTATTAATTTAACAATTAATCCTCTTATATATGACATCAGACCACCTGAGCCTCTTGACATGAGCTGCCTAGGCTATGGAAGCCTTTTGAATCCACAAACTCCATCAGTATTTAGACAAAGTCATAGGCAAAGCGGAAGTTCTCTCCTCCCTTCAGAGAAAAGTACATCCTTCTTTGATGGCCACTTCTTTCCACTGGGGTCTCACTCAGAGAGATCCTTCATGTAGAAGATTTTTTGCCACAGTGTCTTTGCTTTCCATGCCTGAAATGCTCTCATGGTCTTTTCAGCCAGACCAGGATGCCTTAAGGGCTGAATCTGAGGTCAGAGTGGTACTTAAAGTGATTATCATTTTATGAGTCTGCTGTGTGAACTGCTTCCCATGTCGGAACATTCTCTCTTTTTTAATTCTATCCATTGTTATTACCAGACACTTGCTCCTATTTATATGATCACTTTAACACTTAATCCTATCTATATATTCACTTTAACACTTAATAGGATCACTTTAACACTTAAGAAGGTAACAGGAACCCAACTTTGTGAGCCATTACTGCTGCATTCCAAGGAATGTGTTATCAGAAATTTGGAGTCAGAAGCCAGGACTGAGACTTAAACACAGACACTGCTAAAGGATCCAGATATCCTAACACCCATGCTAAACACCTACCCCTAAGTTTAAAACAAGATTTAATTTTTATTTATATGAAAAGCAGAGTGATGGAGGGAGGGGAGCTTCCATCTACTGATTCATTCCC